CGTATGAAAGTTTTAGGGGAAAAATTGCTAACTCGGGTACCAGGAAAGCTAGAAAGCTGAAATTTCGGGGGGATGTTCCCTATCCATGCACAATTCAAATATTTCAAAGTCAGCCCTGAGGTATGCATGGTTCTTACGTACGACACTTGGAAGTTTTGGCGGAAAAATTTGTCGCTGAACAGCTAGGTTACTTGAAAAACGATCGTCGAATGGAAGTTGTACATTTACTTTATGCAAGATTTATGGTGACCGCAAAAGGTAGGTGTAAAGCAACAACCATTCGTGCAGTTGATGACCTGAGTACTTCAAGTCCGGTGCAAAAACGCATGATCGCACGGGCCAGCCTGGGTTTAAATTTACCTTGTGTGTTTACTAGCGCAAATTGTCACCAATTTTGCATAAAAGAAGGTAAACAAACTTCGTTTAACGATCGGTTTTTATGCATCTTTGCATATATGCAAGTGCAAAACGTAGACTGGCAAGCGGCTGTGTGTTTGTGGGTGTCTGTGTGTTCGCACTTTTTGTCACCCTTTTTCAACCTGAGAATCAGAAAAGCTAGAAAGCTGGAACTTCGGGAGTATGTGTTCATTCATGTGTGATTCTCTCGTTTCAATATTATCATTCGCGTACGCCTGGCTCGTACGTACAGACGCTTCAAAAAAACATGAAAATTTTTCTGACAGAAAAGCAATCTCGGGAACCAAATAAGAGAGCAAGCTGAAACCTTGCAAGGATATTCTCATGCATATATGAGCTAAAGACTTAGTTTCAGCTCCAAGGTGTGCGTGCTACTCTTGTGCAAGCAAGTGAAGGTTTTGGCGGGCAAATCACTAACTTGGGAGCCAGAAAAGGTGAAATTTTTAGGATGATGTTCCCTGGCCAAGTACGACTTAAAGGTTCCATATCCAGCCCCCAGGTATGCATGGTAATCGCGTACGGGCACTTAAAACTTTTGGCGGGAAAATTATCCTCCGAGCAGCTAGGTTATTTTCAAAGAACGGCCGCTAAACGGAAATTATTCATTTCTTTTATGCAAAATTTCGAAGATTCACGGTAGCGAGCGCACAATGTGGCTGTAAAGTAGGCATTGGCAGCCTTTCGTGACAGGCGAGCCTGACTTATATACTTACTTAAGCTCGTCGGCTACGTTTTAACAAAGCTCAGGCAGTAGCGCACCAGATTTGCTTGCGCGGTCACGTGTTTTTGTGCTAAATTTGACAAGTAAGATCGGTGATGGTATGAGTTGTTATTGCTTTACAGTTTAGCACGTGCAACTCATGTGCCTTTGTTTTGGTCTTTTCTTTCCCGCCAGGAAAATTTGTATATTTTTTAGGGGTTCAATACGCGAAATCTAGGGGCGTATGAGGGAAGTTTTTAAAACGGGATGGTGACGCATGAGATGGGAGGATGTATATAGGCTTCCAGCTTTCCTGGTTGCTAGTTGAAAGTGAGTGACAAAGTTCGCTCGCTTCTGAATACACACACACCGGTGGCCTATCGAGGATATGCGTTTTTGGTCACTGTACCAGCGCTATAGCGCTGCATAGCAAAAACGCGTAAAAATAAGCAGCAGTGGGTTAGTGTGAACTCCGGGCTTGAAGTTTTGACACAAGGTTGTTGAAATCTGGATTTATATCATTGTTACGGAGTTTCAAAGTATTTTCCAGACTCGTCTGTTAGCCTTGTGCGTATTTTAGTTTTATTTATTTTCATTGGAGTGCAGAGGCGTGGCGGAGTATAAACCCCGTTCGTCTAGTTAGGCACCACGCTCCGATTCCTTCCGCGCACCAGATTAAAACTGGTCGCGAGCCGGCTTGGATCCGTGGGCTGTCAGTTGCTCACCCGTGATGTAAAGCAACAGCCATTCGTGCAGTTAACGATTTGGTTATTTTAAGTTTGGTGCAAAAACGAGTGATCTCATCGGCAAGCCTGATGCGTTTCAGCATAGGTTGAAAATTAACTGGCTGATCAATACATAAATTTTCCATCAAAACTTCTGAGTATCCGTAAGTGAGTACCACGCATACCTGTTGGCTGAATTTGAAGTCTAAGTTTTACGAGGACGGAAAACAATCACTTGAAGTTTCAGCCTTCTAGCTTTTCTGGTCTCGGAATTAGCAATTTTCCGACCACGACTTTCACGTGCTCGTACACACGGGGTCTAAACGCACATGTAGGCTGGCATTGGCACCGGTGTCCTGGGGTGGTTTTTACAATGTACGTTTTTATATTTGCATATGTGCAAAAACACATAATTACAGCCCTTTATTTCTCGTGTCGGCATGATGCCAGCTTGAGTCTTGACGTCTGCACATTTGAGACCCAGGGGTGCATAAAAGTCGTATTTAAATTCTTTGGGCTGTAGATGGGCAACGGGTCTTTGTCTTCTAGTTTGTCTACTTCCTGAAATCGTTTTCTCGCCATAACATTTTTCACTTGTCCATGCGTGTGAACTGAAGGACGTGAATTTCCGTTTCTTGCTTAGAAACTGGTTCGCAGTGGTGGACCAGGTTGCCAAAACTTCAGTCTAATAAATATCGTAGGTCGGAAGGTCAAAATTTTGCGGACGCGCGTCATTCAGTTATACACACATATACATGCACAGACACACTTTTTACAATACGCTTTTTTGCGTTGCATAAAAATTTAGGATAAATATCCATATGTGCTTTTTGCTATCTCCCACTGACTTACTCCTTCAAGTGCGGAATTGTTTTAGAATTGGATCTTCCTGGATCGCTTTTGTTTTGCTTCAGAAACTGGAAATTTCTACTACAGAGTTCAATATCCTACGGTAAAAAAGATATGTTTGATTTTTTTTTTGGGATTCATATAACTTTTATGATGTATTATCCGTGCCAAGAAAAGGAAGATAAGAGCCTAGAAATCGGGTTTAGCTAGAAGCTATTTCTTCAAAGTCGTAAATTCTTTTTTTTATTAAATCTTGAACTGAATTATTTCTATTTAAAAAAAAATGTACATGTCTATACGCATCAGAAACAAGTGCATAGATATAACCACAAAAACGCATGCGGGTTTTGCCATAAAGCTTTAGTTATTTCTGCAAAAAGCACAGAACGTATGTGTCCGCATAAACTCCAAACTACATTTATCTTGTTTCTTTAATTTCTGTACTTTTAATGAACACAGGTCGGAATTTTCGGGATCCGTTTTCTCGTTTCTTTGTCTTTCATCGCGATTTTTTAAACCAAATACTGTTGTAGTGGTTCGGCGTGCAGAGCCTTTATCTATACTATGATTCCAAATCGCAATGGGCTTCTGCATATGGCACTAGTCTGGTAAAATCTTGTACTTTCTTTGTAGCGCTTTCAAATTTTTTACATTACGAATTTGATTTCCATGGCTAAAAACGCTCAAAAAAATAATCTGAAATTAAATGCTGATGCGGTAGCTTATGAAGATATATGCTGGTACCACAGAGAAAGATGAATCCAGCCCTGCCGGATGAGTACGAAACCGGCAGATGCATTACGCTTGCACTAATGTAACGCTCATCTTAAACATTCTCCTGAACTGCATTCTTGAACAAGTCCACTACGCACCAAACTCCTAGTTCCTCACTATTTGCAATTTCT